CTCCGTTGGATTTATTTAGGTTATTTTTGAAGTTGTCGTATTGGTTAGTTATCCATGTCGATAGGTAAGATAATCCAGAGTCATTGTGCAATGTTTGTTCCGCGTGAATCAAGGGCGTCGGCTGCTATTCTTATGAATTTGTTTTGGAGAATTTTCAATTTTTTTAATTTTCGTTGAGGATGAGAAAGCGGCAGTCCATGTATCATACTGCAGGACACATGGAAGTCAGTATCTATAGTATTTCATCTGCAGGTTTGAGGTAATGAGGTGTAGTTTAATAGTGAGGGGTATCGGATTTGCATCCTATTGTATCATTGGTTTATATTTTGATTGATGTGCATTTTCCAAATTAGTCTTTCGTCTGGGTGTATTCACTGTATCATATTATATCTTGAAATCTATGTATGCAGGTATTATAATACGAAAATATCGATTATTCTAAAATTAATACGACGTAAATTATGTCCATGTTAGATCTGCTGGATTATGCAACAAAAACAATTTAATTTAATTTCCATTATATTTTAATTAATTTTTATATTTTAATTTTCATGCATTAATTTTCTGCCACACCATTATAGTATATTATAATAACGCGATAAAAAGGAAAATGTAATTTACAAAGCACAGACATTATTAATATAATTAGTGCGGAGGACATATACCTACAGCCTAACTACAGATCGTAAACATTTTCGTTTTCTAATTTCTGTTTGACACCGTACTTCATATTATGAATATCGTCAGGCGTAAAGCACCAGTAAGGCGGTACCTAGAGAGCCTAGATAATAATATATATAAAGGCTCTCTAGCGGTACCTATATAATAATATATACTACAGCATAATATATAATAGCCGCATATTATATTATGTACAGGTGATGATGGGTCACACTGTCATAGGTCATATCGTCGTGTACCTATTTAATATTCCATCACGTTGAGAAAGTTAGTACTCTTTTCATTCGTTATAATATTTTATGGTAGGTATTTTGATTTATTATAATATTATTGTCAACATTGTGTGTTTTACATCAACCTATTTAATAGAACGCGTATAGCTATAACTCATAGTAAATCACAATGAACAGACGGACTACAGTTGTAACTTGTAGATGGCTTGTATACCAGTACAACTGTACAGACAAAACATAATTAAAACAATCTAATGATAGAAAGTAGCTTCCTCGTTAAGCCGTCCGTTTTTTTCTTCTTATTTTCTGTTGGAATTCAATGGACATGTCTCATTAACACCCGCAGACATGCCGGCTATTCATATCCGTTATGTGATCGATTTATGTAAATTATTGACACGGAAAACATAATTAATTCGTTCGATTTCGACGCACTTTCCATAAAAATAAAATTTAAGACTTAATATAATATGTTGGACAATTGATATAAAAGCAATTTGCGTACATATATAGAATTTCGATAAAAAAAAAACCGTAAGTTTTACACACACACACACACACCACTATATATGTTTATATATATTTTACACCCACAACCGTCCACCAGGAGTAACAGGTACCTGGTATCTAACCTGTCTGATTCGGGTTTTTATTGCAAGTCATTTTCAAGTGCACCGGACGTCCTGTTTGCGAATATACGTTTTAATATGGCGTAGGTACCTACGTATATAAGTTACCTATATTTAACACATCGTGGCAGTTGTGTTTTCGACAGGAAGTCTATATAATATAATATTATTATATACAATCATAACTATAGCGTGGAGTGTTGACAATACAAAATAATATATTAAAAATGAAAATACAAAATATTCGTGCAGATAAACATGGACTAATCCTATATAGCTATATATACCTATATGACTATATGTATGGTAACTGGGGATCAATGTATCAAAATATATAACTTTAATTTTAATCATAAACATATGATTTATTATGTTTTATCCAACATAGATTATTGACATTTTAAAATAATATTATAGTTCTAATACTATAACATTTCCAATACTTATACAAAACGTATTCATGTGTACCTACACCCATACTGAGGAGAGAGATCCTTAGCGAAGATACATGACAATAATATGATGTACCTATATATTTTATTATTAAATATAATTCCTGTTGCGAACCCTTTTCTGGATAGGACCTGCATTGGTGCTCGATAAGTTTCATGTCTCGTAAGATAATTGAGTACCCGTGGTCTGACGTGACGAGATAATTGTTTAGGATTTTCTCGTACCTAATACGTTATATACAATACCTATTACCCACCTATACAGAAGACTTACCGTCCGCGCAAAATTATTATACGTCATGTAATATGTACCACTACGGCACAATTTACCTTCGTATAGTATATATTAAGACTTATAGTAAGACTGTCGACTGATAACATTTTGAGCAAGAATCGTTTTCAATAACCGGATCTCCTCTGCAGGCTGCTGCAGCAAGAGTTGCTTTACACTTTCAAATTCGATATTCCACTTATTTCCACCATACTATAGCTGGTTCGCTGCAAGTGCAAATCGCGAGACGAGTTCCTGCAGGAGTGGCCGCGCAGACATATAACCCGCGTATACAGTTCGATTATTTTCGTTTTGATTTTATCCCGTTAATAGCTGCCCTGATACACCGTATCGCACCGCAGAATGTCAAGCTTATATACAATATAATATATAGACACATAATATAGCCCACTGGAGTTGTACCTAAGTGCGCAGTCGTGCTATTAGCGATAATTGTCGGCCGGCGGCGTCGGCGAACTGCACTTATTATTATTAGTGACGATATATATTATATATATATATATAATAATTTTATTTCCTTCTATATAGTTTTCGTTATTTATTATAGATTATATTATTGGACGTCCGTGACGGTACAACGGTAATCGAGAAAGTAATAGTTTGGTATAGGCAGCGCGCCGCACTCGTAGGAAAACCGCAATTATGACTTTTCTTTGCCGTGGAAACAACGCCCGTAATACAATTTAAATTGCCGCATACTTATATATATATCAATTGTGGTTCGGTTAAGGTTTCTTATTGCCGTCGCGGAACAAATAAATGCATTTCGTTCGGAATACCTACCGGAGAACACGAATTGCCTATACATTGTATTACCTGTATATTATAAATATCTACCTAGGTGGTACCTATAGTTACGAGCACAACTTACGACAACTGTTAATTATGGTAAAAAAAAAATACATAATACCAATTAATTGTGGTCAGCGTGGCCGAGGCGACGGTCCAGTTAGGTGAACGTGCTTAATATGTATAATAGGATAACAACGAAAGGTGCAGATTACTTTACCAATTACCTATCACTTATCATATTTATCTAATTTAAACCTATTATTTAATATTTTATTATTATATCGCAAATATGTAAAAATTTGTACATATCAGTAGGCTTAGAATAACCTAAGAATGCCTTAATTTAATTAAAGATATCAAAAAAAAAAATTATTATCGTGTCGAAAAATAAAAAAATGCAGTATAATAATAAATAAGCGGCAGGTACCTATATTATAATACCTATACATAGAAATAAAATATAACTTATAGGTACCTACCAGTCTGTTTGCCTATACAATATATATGTGTATGCTGCACTTAATAAATTTAAAAATATTTTTAACGTACCAATACATGTGGGTACCTATAGCCGAGAGGAAAGCTTAATCGAACCACGCGAGCTACGAGTCATGAAAATTCGTGATTGATCATCGTCACGAATTATACACGTATTTGTGTTATAAGCCGAGTCGGTGACTCGGAGGAATCGGAGGAATACATAGGTACCTACCTACACTAACCACGGATTCTTTTGTACATAATATATTTGAAAATCGTGATCAGACGTTATGAGTATACAGCGTAGGTAAAACTGTATATAACTGTACCTATATAGTATAGGTGCAGTACGAGCAAGTATAATAATAATAACACAATATATTATATCTGTAGACTGTAGCGTTAATCTACCAGCTATTTCAACATCACAAAAATAGAATCATGTAAATCCGTGCAGCGTGCATCCTCTCCTATTGGATTGTTTGGAGATCCTATTGTAATAATAATAATGATGGTAAAAATTCTACTGGGTTGTGTGCACTTGTATCATTATTCGTGTTCGCCGGCGCGTTCTAAAACCTAGAAAAAATAACAACAATAAAAATAATAATATTCATTATACCTACGTATTACACATATAACATATTCTACCCCCACTTTGGTCACACCAAACATGGTTTAATAATGATTAAAATAATTTTAAATTATGGATGTTAATGATGTTATAATTATATGCACTTGTATGCGTATACTGCGTATAGGCGTCATGACTTCAAACTATATAGGTATTGTGCTTTAAAATCGCCGTAGAACTTGAGAATTAGTTACTTACGGAACAATCAAAAAATCTAGCAGGTACCTACTTTACCTATATTTAACATCACATACACATAGCCTGTATTTAAAATCGTTTTCGCTGTTGAGGTACTCGAGGTTATGACCATAAAGAAAGGAAAGGAAATAACCTTTATTCGTGGTTATGAGTTTATCACATACCAAATGGCAAATAATATGTTGCGAATTGTTACTTTAACTAAAATACACTTACTTACAACTAAATGACGAATTAACTAAAATATAATTGTATATTTGTATCGAAGATTCATAGGGCGTAGGCATTCGGCACTTTTAAATAGACTGCAACAATTTCCGTAACTGTACATTGATCAAAAACCCAATATAGGTATACACGTCCGTAATATATAGCACGTATTTAATACGTACATGTTGTTTCCGTTCTCTTTCTAGGTCTGTTTTTTAGTATTTAAGTGACTTGGTGTGTCTGTTTATAAGAAGATCTACTTTAATGCGCGGTATTTTTATATATACCTATTTAATGTTGCAATAGGTATTAATTATGATAATTGTACATAATTTTAGGCATTAGATACCTAGTACTATTATTTTGTATTATAATAAAGTTTTTATGTATATTTTATAGGCATACAAACTCAAAACTCGACCGACTGCCGTTCAAATAGCGAGAATAGCAGCATTCACTGTGATCGCGTGCTCATTCATACTTGGATCATTCATGCTGGCTGCCGCTTGGTTACAGGCGAACGCGTCCTGCTCTCAGTTAATGCACGCCGAAGCGCTCCTCAGACAGGTAGACACTATATTATACTTAAGAGTTGCTGAAATAATGTAATACCTTATGGCCTTTACCCACCCGTATTCGATGACCGTATAAAAAGTCGAGTATGAGTAAATCACGATACTGTTATTGTTTCACAATGTCATGTTCCTAAGTATAGGTTATTAAGTAAATTCTTTAAAATCATATTATTATACATAAATCGCCTAGATTTTCCATCGATTATTGTAAACGGGTAGTTATGGCATAGAGTTATTGCTTATTGCCTATTGATATATTGTCCGTATCTAAAACAAAATTATTTGTTCCATTTTTATTGCTCTTTATTATCATTATAATTCATATAAAGTATTATTGTCGTCTCAGTGGACGTTTGAATGTTTCGGTCAAGTGTACGTAGTTATAGTAGTTAGGTACCAACCTCCTATTTTTTTTCAATGAGTAAATAGTTCAAACTTATAGGTACACAGTAAAAATTACTTATATTAATTTATGAAAATCATAAAATAATTGATCACACCAAATAATATAGGTGTACAGCTCAACCAGAGCCACAACAATATCATATCATTACATTTTAATATTTTATGCTGTAACTTTTAAAGAGAGTAGAACATACGACAACATAATATAATAATTGATCAGGTTCAGGTGCAACAGTATAAGTATTTAGGAAGCACGCTAACGAGCGACAGTAGATGTTCGGTAGAAACAGTACCCCAGCCCCCCCCCCACCCCCGCAGACAAAATTTTGTACACAATAGAACATGCATATTATAGTAATATGAATATAATATGTGTATACTGAATGTCTATTAAAAATATTATATCCCCCCCCCCCCATGAAAAAATCCTATATAAAATAAGTCATTGAATAGTCATGGGAAAGAGAGCATTGCCTTCACACAAAAAAGACAGCTACTTACGAACAAAAATCTTAGTCTTAAGACCGGAAAAAACTTTGCCAAGAGCTACGTGTGGAGTGTTTTGTTGTACGGTTGTGAAACCTGGACCTTAATAGTACAAAATAAAAATAAAATTGAAGCAATGGAAATGTGGACCTAGAGAAGATTACTTCTTATTAGTTGGACTGAAAAGAAGAGAATGAATAAATTCTCCAAATAGTATAAGAGAAGAGAGTATTATTACTATCAATCATAAGATCAAGAAGCGGAAAACTTATAGGACACTTAATGAGACATAACCCCTTAATAACCAATAAATTGGAATGAAGAATCAATGGACGCAAAAGAAGAGAAAGACCGAGGAAGACCGAAGACATTCATATAGGGTAAATGATTGGAATGGTTGGATGCAACGAGTACTTGCATATGAAGAGCATTAAAGAGAGAAGAGTGAAAGACTATTTTATTCTCTATATGATAATGCTTGTAGCCTTTAGAAATACAGGGTGTCCCGTGAGGATTTACTCATTGCGATATCTCCTGAAATAATGGAGATATCGTAATTATGTTTTTTTATTAAGACTCGCAGAGGTAAGCACTACAAATATTTTATTTTTTAATTAAATTAAATTTTTTAGTAAAAAAGTTAAAAAAATTATTTTTTTATTTTTTTATTTTTGAAAAAATTGAAGATAGCCATTCTATAAAGTATATTTTTGTGAACATTTTGAGCTTTTAACATTTTATTTTCATTAATCTCATGATTTTTAATAATTTTTTTAGTTTATTAGTAAAACGTCAATAAACTGGTTTTTGTCCGGGCGGCGAGTCCCCCTCTACTTCTAATGAGTAAATCCTCACGGGACACCCTGTATACTAGAATATAATATAATATAAAAGAAGATACAGTAGCTATATTGTAATAGGTAGTTATTAGTTTAAACTTTATTTTTCTCTGCAAAATCATATTAAAATTATAACGAGAACCTGCATGTGACCTGCACTTACTAAGTAGTCTATATATATGTTGTATACAGTAATAATACAATTTATAATAATCTGATACCTATGTGAGAAGTGAGAACATTAAAATGGATGTAATATCACTTTCTTTGTGTATCTACCTACCTATGTAATTGAAATATTTTTTGCTGGTTTGACGATGACAATTTTTCAGATTATAGAATTGTTCAGCTTTCACTATATAATATAATCCACGCACAACAGTCAACAACAGTGAAACTGTTTTCCTAGACTTATTTATTTGTTTTTTCGGTATATTAATTATGAATCTTGCAACGGTCAAATAATTCTTTGTTATGCGATGCAATTCGTCTGTAAATAATAGTAATAAAAAAAATAGTCAATACCTATTATATTATACAAACAAATAGTCGACTTAAAAATATTTCCGCGTTTGAAAATGCATGAAAACGAATTGGTCAAGGGTCCATATCACACTCTCGGCCAATATATGGGTCAAGCGCGTATACCAATAGGTTACACGCAAGGTATAGAGATTATTCGGTGCAACCGACCATTAAGCACAGGAAACGATTTGGTTATGAAACATTGAAACCGTCGTACAGGCAATAGCAAGACGTATCTATAATCTATATTACATATTGTTCAATTCGATGACCAACTCATATAATTTGTATTTATATTATGCGACAAAGTTCCGACAGTAATAATAGCACTTACTACCTATACTATAGCCTATAATAATAATATTATAGTTGTATAATGAAAACACTGCATCTATATCTAATAGCAACTAGGTAGTAGGTATATATATATTATAGTAATACCTACCACATAATTAGACATAATATTATGTAATATATTTATATATTATATTTTATTTATTATATTTATATATATTTATATATGCAGTTATACAGCCATATACAACAGGTATAGAATAAAATATGTATAATATAGGTAGGTACCTACCTATTATACGTTACAATTATTTACGGGCAATGTGAACCAAATTTTTTGAATTAATATTATTTAACCTATGCTGTATAGCCGTATAGGTAATAGGTACCTATTATTCTTTCAGACATTCAACATACCTACCTAGGTATTTTTTTCTTATTAATTTTATATACCTAATAATTAGCTGCATAACCCGTGACTTCGTCCTGGAAAATATGAACAAACATAAAATATGGCACGTAGTTGGTAGTTCAAATAACTCTCTAATTTTCCTGATAACAAGAAAACAAATAATATAACTTATTTTAGAACACTCCCTGAAACTTTTTTTCAAATCATTCGATAAGTTTTTGAATCTATAAGCTACAAACATAGAACATTCTTATTGAAAATTTGAAGAACAAATAACAAATTAAATAGGTAGGTATTTATTTTATTTAAAAAAAAAACCCATAACACCGATTGGCAGGAAGGCAGTCTGTGTAGGTAGGTAGGTACAATTTTTTCCTCTGTAACCAATGACAATCTTATATAGGTACATACAAACAATTGTCAATTATTCAATTTTCTTGAACTAAAACAAAATACATGTGTGAGCCACTCTATAGGTTCATATAATAGTCGTCCAAAAAAAAAGCTTACAACACGATTCGAGTGTCAATCAGTGCTCGAATTGGGAAAAATTAAGTAGAGGAGCTCAATCCAACGATTTAAAAACTGCGTTCAATTGAAATCCGCATTTTAATAAAAATTATTTCGAACATTAGTTTGTACCGTCCCCCCGTCCAAGTAAAAAAAAATAGTAGGGGTACGCAAAATAAAAATAAAAATAGTAGGGGAGCTCCGTCCCCCTGCTCACTCCTCCCCAGACCCCAACACTGTCCATATTCTGAAAGGAATATATTTTATTATAGCTATAAGTGTACCTACCTACCTATAATTGTTTTCTTAAATATTTTGCCTGGAATAATAGTTTTTCGTTATAAAATGTAAGCTTCTGCAGTGTAACAGGAACAAAAATGACTATTATAGTAGGTATTGTAAAGTAAGTAGGTAGGCACTTAGTTACCTAATAGAAATAAATAATAACTACAATATATTATAAAGATTGGCTCACATTGGAGTCAACGCGTGGCATACAGATAATACACATAATAATATTATAATAGTTACCAATATAATATAATATATATTATATTATTATACTAGGTACCTATACTTTCATCTAAATGGCCACATAACTAGTTAACATTTAAAGTATAAAAAATAAAATATATTTAATATTTACATTTAAAGAGTGAAGAAGCTGTAGACCGTCCACAGTATCAGGCACTTGTCGACCCTTTGCAATCGGACGAGACATCTGATTCGAAGCAAGAGGAGCTTCCCGTGCACCAACAATCAACCAGGAACGTCGACAGTCCGACCACCGGTAATAATGATCAACAACCGGCTGCGCCAGTTCAAATTAAGTTGCCATTGGAATTAGATTTCGACGAAATCGTTGGGGTGAGTGTTTGTTTGTTTAATGACAGTAATACCTACAGTAGGTACATTAGCGAAATCGAGGGCTAAGCCCCTCTAAAAACAAATAAGATATTTTCCATTATAAATATTGTCCAAAATGTCCAGAGGAAAGTATACTAGCTATGTATACAGAATAATATTGTAATAGTGATAAATATTTTGACTAAATCCTTATTTTCCTTGATGTGCTCGCTAAACGGATGCAACCAATAATCATTACTTTAAAAATTAATTATAAAAATCAGTGAGTTTGCTTCTGCTGCAACTATACCTATGTTGGAATTTGATAAATTCAATAAATCTTTGAATGAATACGAGAAAAACAATAGATACATTTTAAAATTTAAATGGAGACAATTTGAATAAAAAACGTCAAATAAAATATCGTACATAATATAATTTTAATTTTAATAAATATATTTTTTATGACCTATGCCTATATAGTTGATAAAATTATTTCAAAAAAGTACCTACTGAATTTGTAACATTTTTGAACCAACTAGCTGAAATCAGACTAGTTAGTGAGGTTGCGCCAATTAACTCTGTTCTAAAACGAATTTGTTTCGATAAAGGCTTTACTCGAGAAAAATCAACGCTCGAGGATGAACTGTGTGATCGAGAAGAAACGCGCCGAGGAGGTCATGGACCACCAACCGAAAACATTGCGTCTGCCATTCGGCGTGAACATTACCACTGATCCTCGTTTTGAGCACGTTACAGGTGAACGATTAAGCATCGTTTGCGAGAGTGGACACGACGAGAGGTATGAAAATATGATGTATAAGTTCAGATTATTGGAAATAAATAGATTTAAATTCAACATTTGTTATAGATGAGTTACTTACTTATACCACCTTACTCCTTAGGTACCTAGGTATAGGTTTATAACTCAGCTATGCGAGTATTTGATTATAAGTTAATAAGTATTATTTTGAAGCAATATTATATTATATTATATTATAGATGATAGAAGACAACTAAAAATAATCTTTTTATATGAACAAATCACAATTAAATAAAAAAAAATTGTCTAATCAATTAAATCCCAATACAGACGAGCTCCAAGTCCGGTGGAACAAATGCAACAACAGCCATCAATGATGATGCCGATGCCAATGGGAGCTAATCCGATGACTCATTTACCAAGTATGATGGGACCACCTCCACCACCCCATCATATGCCACATCCTCACCACCATCAAGCTCAAAGCGGACCAATACCAATGGCCTTGATTGCCAGAATCAACGCCGACATTGACAATCAGCTCCAAATGCAAGAGCAACAGCAGATCGAAGAGCATATCATTCCCATCTTCCAACAACTGTTACCCGAACTGAGACCTGCGTCCGATAACCACCATGAACATCAACAACACCATAAACAAGAAGCTGAGGACAGAGCCATGCCCAACAAAGTTCTATATCATCCAGCGATGGCCGAAGGAAGATCCATGTACACCGTTGCTATATCCGACAAACCAAGCGGAGACGGTCCAATGATGCACCAATCTATGCCATCCGAATCTGTCCGCCAGAATGGGCCCATGTTCCAAAGGGTTCCTATTCACGTGCCTATGTCCATGATGATGCCACCCGGTGCCGGACAATCTATCCAACAAGATCCAATCGACGAACCCAAAGCAGATCTTCGTCCACACTGTAAGTACCTATATTGACTAGGTTCTAGGTGTAAAATTTTTGTATTTTCTAGAAACACAAGAAGTATTTTTTTTATTTATTAATAGGTATATTACTAGTATTTATAGTCAATGATATTACGGAAAATACTCCTTATACAGTTGACTAGTTGAGTTTTGATAACTCGAATCTCAAGGGGAATAAAAATAAATTCGACTTATGCAATTTTTGAGTCATATACCTCAAAAACAACTTAAAAACACTTTGAGGGACAAGAAAATAATTCAAGTTATCGAAACACGACTGTACTTAAATTACAATTATTTTAAGTAATATTTTTCTTGGAAATCAAAATTAACACTTAGGTACCTATAATACTTATATTAAGTCTTATAATATGGTACCTAATTAATTATAAACAGTAGGTTGTTGTTGTAGTAAAGTAGAATTGTAGACTCTTATATTTTAAATAGTAAAATACCATATTATTACTTATTAAGGCCATATTATACAATATTATAATAGCATATTATTACTTATTCTTAGGTCTTAGCTAGATACCTAACTTCAACAAATTGTATTACTAGTTACCTATACACATGTGTAACTACTAACTAGTATATAGGTAAATAAATGTTAGGTCCCTAAAGAATTTAATTTTGAGACATTTTAAGATTGTTGAGTTTTATTTTGAAGTTTCTTGTTTACTTTTAATTTTATTAATTAATTTTTAAATATTTTAAATTATACTTATTAATTATGATTTTTAATTTTAGTTGTTCACCCACGTTCAGTTGAGTCAGTTCACGAGATCAACCAAAATGAAGAGATGGATTCTAGAAAATGATTTTTTCAATTTGGCATAAATTTAATTTTACATTTTAAAAAGAGTAGATCTTTTGTTAATGTCGGTAGATTCTTAAAATAAGCCCAAATTGACATTAGGATTACAAGAATCAAATAACAATTAAGCTTAAAGAATTTTTATGGATATTTGATATCAAGAAAACAGTGTATTTGGTATACATACAATATATATTTGAACTTTGTTTACAACATAGTATTTTTAAGTTTTGTTAATGTTAATTGTGATAGATTAATAGATTATTATAACATTTATAGTTTTGCTTTCAAATAAAATCTATATTACATTTTGTTAAAATATATTAATTTGAATAAATTAGAGTTTATAATGTATTAAATTATCACAGATAATTTCAATACCAACATGTAGGTAATGTTATATATTATATATTATATATATTTGTAGTTATATAAAATGCTTTTCGGCAACAAAATAGATACTACTTAATAAAAAATCATACAATTTATCTATTTATACAAATATTTTATTATAATATGTATTTCAGATAAATATCTAACAAAAAGTGTTGTATAATAAATAATAAATTAGAGCATACATTAAGTTAATTTTAATAACTAAAATTATTGAAATAAAAATCTTTTGATCATTTAACATTATCTACAATATCTATAAAAGCACACAATTCATATTAAAATATATTTTCATATCTTAAATATTTGTTGATATGTTTCTTATTTTAGGTAATTGCATCATTGTTTCTGAAATAAAGGTAAATAAAAATGTCTTAAATAATCATAAATCTAAATGTAATTTCATTGGAGAAAACATGCACATTACTTTTTATTTATTTAACAAATTATTATTATAATCTCACAGTATAATTATAACTTATAATAGTAGGTACCTATAGTAAAAATTTAAAACTACAATTCAATATCTTACCAACAAATTAACTTTTTTGAGTATCATACAATTCTGATAATTTATACAAATATCCAAGTACATATTCATTGTCAGAACTAATTAATTCTTGTGTGGCAGGTTTACTAATAAAATCATTAGCTCTAAAAAAAATTAAAACAAATCATTTATGTAAATTGCAGAAAAAAATGTGAATTTAGTGTCTAAGATTAATAAAATATTTACATTTCAATTTTATATAATAAACTGATGTATAGTATTTGAATGTTTACTTACAAACGTTGAGCATCATATGGGATTAAAGTATCACACAAAGATACAAGAATCCAAAAGAATTTTTTAAATGGATATTCAATGTAAGGGTTACTTAATGAATCACTCATTGCATATTGAATACCGTGTCGATGAATATTTGTTGATACTAAACGTTTACCTATTTGATCTGTACATTGACATAAGATGCGTGTAATTATAGTAGCAACAACAGTCTAAAATTAAAATTTTAATTGCCTGACTTTAATAAACAATATATTAAAATCAAAACTTAAAAGTTGTTTAATACAGTAATGATTAAGCACAAAATTCATAGTATATGGTAATTATTATTATAAATTTTATAGAATATATGCACACATGAACATAACAAGTATGGTTCATACTAAGTGATGAGAAAAAATGTTCTGTTTGAATAGAATATATTATATTAAATATTATTTTTTTAAATACTTTTTACAAAATATAAGTTATCTTTATATAGTATGTATACCTATATAATATAATAAGTCTTTTATACGTGTGTACCTAATTGAACTCCTACTAAATGGATGGACTAAAAGGAAGAAATTTGTCGTATGAATTTGAATTTGAGTGGATCCTTAGATGGTTTAGATCCACAATTGGCCCTGATAGGTCAATCCTGGAGAGATGGTAATCAAACAGAGATTTTGAGATTTACTATGGACATTTTACGTTCTTGATTTTTTAATCAAGTAAATATGGTAATTGAAATGAAAAGTCTGAATTTTGAAAACTTCAAGAATTTGTGTTAAATAGGAAAATAATAAATATCTAACTCAGTAATGATGAGTAGGTGGGTAATTTAGATAACTTTAATACAAAATATTAATGAGAGAGAGATTTGATATCACACCCAAGCGGTATAGCCACTTGAATCCAAGAAAAAGTCAGCGTGAACAGTCCCAAAATTTCTATTTTTGAACTTTTGAACTACTCCTAAGCCATGATAGCTAGAAATTTGGTTGATAACTCATTAAAAAGGGATTATCGATTAGATACTAAATTGTGGAATTAAAAGATAAATCATAATATCAAATAATATCAAAGATAAAAAAAAAAAAGAGTTAATTTTTACTAGATTTCATTTAGGGAGGTAGATTTCACAAACTGGAGAACGGATTTTGTTGTTTGGGGTTTTGTTAGATTCACATTGGCTAGGAGAAGTGCAGTGAAGATTTTCAGAACTTTACCTCCAATCGTTAATTCACTACAAATCTGTAAAACTGAAAAGCATCAAAAAACGCCTAATAAAATTTATTTTAATTTTTCTTTAATGTTCTGTAGTGAATAAACTATTAAGGATTAAGTTCTGAAAACCTTCACTGCACTTCTCCTAACCAATATGAATCTAACAAGACCCCAAGCAAAGAAATCCGCTCTCCGGTTTCGGAGATGTATCTCACTAAATGAAAATTAAAATGATTTTTTGTGGGGCTGTTCACATAGACATTTTTCTAGATTCAAATTGTTATATCGCTTGGGTGTGATATGTTAATAAATTTCTAAAAATTAAAAATCAAGAAAGTTTACATGCCAATCCCTGAATTGGCAAGCGTTTTTGTTTAGAAATGGTTGCCATTAGTTAATCAGGCAGATGAAGTAAAAGCATGCATCAAAACATCACGTTTATGGTTTCAAATAAAGAAATATATTTATATCTTAAAACAAATATGAGATTTTAATGTATATGTAGCTTATATAGGTATTTAAAAACTATTTAATTGATTTTGTGAAAATTTCAAATTATTCTTGAAGATATCAGGAAAGTTTAGTTAATCACATTCGATTTATACTAAGTGGTATATCCAATCCTCCAAAAGTGAATTGTCCATTTTGGTCGAATTTAGATGCAAATTTGCCTGTGAACTAAGGTAGGTACGCTGTACACAAAACCCAAAAAACCCCTATACATATAGCCTATATTTTGTATGTTTCATTTTTTCACAGGCCAAGTCTGGTTATACAACTAAAATTAGATGTTGGTTCATCCCAAATCATTAGCCTCAAAAAATGGCTAGACTGTTTTCAATAAAAGTTATATCAATAGATTTCTTGAAACTTAAGAGTTCTTTAGGGTGTTTATACCTTATTTTTTCAACTCCTGTAGATAGCTAAAGGGTAAATTTCACATAATTTTTTTCAGCTGAAGTAGATATAAATTTTTATTTGTTTATCTAAATGATTGCAATTAGTTAAATATTATATAAGAGTTATAATTAGAAGAAATATGGCATATAAACTTTTTCCAAATTCAAATCATTGGCCCAGATAACTAGTATACTATAAGTAAAAACACACATTTTAGAAATAAAACCACTTACTAAATCTTTTAATGTATAATTTTTGAAGTCTGATTTTTGAGAAATAATATTTTCATACATGTACACTAAGTATAAATTAATTACATCGCTTAGTTGATCTCCAGTTTCTTTTTTGCAGAAGAAATTAAAAACTGGTACAAGTGCATGTTCAACCAATTCCTATAAAATATTATATTCCTGTTATGAAAAGCTTGACAAATGTATTTAGATTTTAAAATTATAGTGTAGGTACCTTTTTTACAAGCTGCAATAGTGTAATCAAATGATTCATTTCGATAACACCATCCTGTATAAGTTGTATAAATACTTCTACAAGTCTTAAAGTATTTAAATCATCGCTATATTCTAAAATAAATTTTAAAACAACCATTCAATAGATTTAAAAATGTATTTTCTTATACCGAGTAATGCATACCACAGTTATTGACTAAAGAAAAAATAAACTCATTTAATCTCATATTTTGGTCATCATCAAGTACATAATTAGTTCTATCTTTGTTGAATCTAATCCGTAATAAGTCATCAACAATTAAAAACGCCTGGAAGTAATGAAAATAATTACAAAAATGTATGTAAAAATGAAATGTAATTTACAAATAAATAAAATATCTTACAGTTTCACAGATGTTTAAAATTTGTGGATCATATTTACTTGATGTAATTAACATGGCATTTAAAAAAGTAACATATGTATTTTCCACAATAATTTCAGACTGTTCAATGGAAAAATTATTTTGCAAATCTGTTGGTACTTTAAATATTTTTCTTCTGAATACTTCCATGAAAGCACTTAAAGCAAATTCCTAAAAAATACTTTATATAATTTTAAGACAGACATTACAATATATTGTGTTAATTTCAAATATCGTACTGAAACAATTAAATTGGATGGTGAGTTTTTCTTTAGATTGGGTACATAATAAGATATATATTTCAATGGTTCCAAGTCATCAGGTATAATGTTATACTTTGCTAGAGACCACATTTTAATTAAAGCATTTTTTTGACTCAATTTATTTGACGTCTGAAAAAATAAATAGTCATTATAATTTATATAAATCTATTTATAGATTTTATTTTTATTTTATGATTATTCAATTGTAATAACTTCAAAATTATTTGTCTTATAAATCTATATACCTAATTATGAAAGTTATATTATATTATATTTTATAAGATTACATTTTTAGTTGGATTTTCAATTTCAGCTTTTAAAATATTAATATTCGCTTGTGCAATATCTTTAATATATTTCAAACACAAGCTTTGATCAGAACCTTCTAAATTTGATGACATAATATGAATGCATTTTGAAATCATCTCTAAAATAGTAGGAATGTTCCAAGTGTGATAAAATAAAGATACTTGATTTAATATATCAGGTATTATCTAAATTACAATTTAAAACATACAAAATAATTATGATTTTATACATAGTTAGCAATTTAATAAATATTTATGTATATATTGTAAAGTATAATAGTACCTTTCTATCTTGAAGTAATTTAAAATCGACAAACTGTAATAAAATCCATAGTGAAAATGCATGTGTAGGTGTATTACATTCTTTAAATTGATTTAGTAAATGCATCACCATATAAGTAGTATATTCTGTCTTTTTAATTGTATTAATATGTAACTGAATAATCTAAAATAAAATTATATACCTGCATGTTTTATATATTATATAATATACAATGAAACTTCCAAAACAAAATACTTTTGATAAGCAAACTATATTTATTTTATTCTATTATTATTTAAATGTCTCTTTAATACAAAATTTTTTTGTTGTCCATGAGACTTAGTAGTATGGAATTTTCACTGTACTTGTAAATGCTAAAATAATAAAATTACATAAATTAATACAATAATAAAAAAGTGCAACACTTAATCAATTTATTGTTTAATAATTAAACAGTCGTAGTATTAAAATTTAGTTGGTATCCAATACCCAGCCAAAATTTGAAATAGATAATATAAATTATATAATAAAATGAAGTTTAAATCAATTTAGTTATTTCTAGAGTATAATTTATAAAAAAAAAAAAATTTAATTTTGATAGAAATCAGTAAATAGTAATATTATACAAATTTAATAACAGCTTACTTAATATGCATTGTAATCTAAAATATACACTTTATTACTTCAAAGTACCTATGCTGAATATGGTCAAACTTTTATATTGTCTATAAAAAAATCTATTAAAATATAATTTTTAATTTAACATCAAGTTAAATATTAATAATTAAATAAACTTTTACATCCATCTATTTTTACAATACTTTTTGCTTACAACTGAAAAACTTTTTATAATACTATCAACTTTATTTGCTGTAGATAACAATTACATACTACAAAATATGCGCCAATATATTTTTTATGCATTTCATAATATAAATATAACCAATTTTGTATTTATTTACCAGTTTGGTAGGTATTAATAGTGAAATATGTTAGAAAATTAAATAAAATTGAAAAATATGCACTTTCCTGACAAATAATCAAATGAATTGTTAAATTTATTACATCTTATATAAATTTAAAATTAAATAAACAACAGTACTTACATCATTTTGGTCTCCCATAAAAGCAATTTTTTGTTCAGGCTTAACACCAGTAATTAACCATTTAACAACATACATGAATAAAGTCATAAAATTGTGTTTTTCTGTATCTTCAAGATTTTCTAAAGTTAATAATTGAGATATACATTTAAAGTCTGTGAGTAAAGGGCATAAATCATAAATAGCATCAACAAAAAAGGAGGCAGCAATCAATCTAATCTGCAACGGAACACCTTCTAAAATTACTATAAGAACTTTCAATCGTTCAAATGCATTTGGTTGAGAATTGACCATTTGGTTAACAAAATGTTTTGCTGCAACTCGTGAAACTTTAGTTTTTTCAGAAAAAACTAATTCTAATGCTATTGACTCAACCTTATTCATGTGATATACTTCTTCATCATCTTCATCATCTATACTAAAATTTGTTATAGAAAATATAATTATTCATCTTTAAGCTGTTAGTTTATTTTAAGAATAAAAACCTTGGCAATATGGAATATAAATTTAATGCTGAAATTACGACTCCATCATTAGTTGATAAAAGTAGGTTAGCTAGAACGGAAACTATTTTTTTTATCATTATCTTCACTTTAGGAATATTACTGTGTGCATTTAATAATATGTCATTAGCCATCTGAAAGTAATTAATGAATATTACTATAAATGTAGGGATTGACGATATACATAATAAATGTTACTAGTACTTTGATGCAATATAGTAAGCCTTTCCTTTTCCTTCAACATAAGCTATGCTTAATAAAGGCAAGTAAAATGTTTGAAATTGAAAAATAACTAATTTGATTTATAGTAGTTACTTATGAAAAAATATTAACTAATATAATACCAATATTACTTACAAAATTAAAATATATTAATATGTAATATAATACATGTATAACTATTTAATAAAATAAAAGTATACCTACTTTAAGAGCTATAGTTTGTACACTTATGCTTTGATCTCCGAGTGCCCAATAAATATACATCCAAAAATCATTAATAAAGTTATTAAAATCAATATTTATCCAAAACATTAGTTCTAGTAACACTTTTTCTCGTACAACATAAGAAGTATCTCTGTAAAGTAAAAACCAAATTAATAATACACATATAATTATATTAACTATGTAAACTAAACACTTGTATTCAAAATTATGTGTACATGTATTATGTATTAGGTGTATATATAATATATTGTATACAAGTATTATGTTAACTTACTTCCATCGTTTCATTAAAAACTCTGTATACAATATTTCGAGATCGTTCTGTACAAGTTCTATATTATTTGATTGTACCAAACCAGTAACTATTTTTAAACCTAAATAAATATAATTATTTAAATAAAATATGATTGTTATATTGATATTTGGCTTTACCAAAACTTGTAGCAAGAAGTCTTGGTCCAACAAAATCAGATTGTGATATTCTTGTAAGAATATCTCTCAAGAATTTAAAATAACTTTTATTTGCATCTTTATCCAAAAATAAGTTACTGTGGTGGTGAAAAATTGCAGTAAAAAGTTCTAAGGATTTTTGGATCTCTATTGATTTTTTGATCTTTTCAGGAGAAATCAATGAACCAGTCTTTTCCTAAAAAATGTAATCAGCATAATATAAAATTATATTTGAACTTGGAAATTAATAAATAATAGGCAATAGTATTAATAATAAATACGATACCAATGTTTCAAAACATTTATTAATTCTTGCAAATATTAAAACAGAATTAAAGTTAATGAATGTATCTTCACAAACATCGACATCAAAACAATTAATTATAACAGCAAATAACTTGATTGTACCAGTTCTGGGATTTTCTTTAAATTTGTTCACCCAAATTTTCACCATTACCTTTAAAAAATAAAAGTTAAGAAAATATACAATAAACTGTATTGTAGTAAATTATATGTTTATATATTATATTAGAAATAGAAGCACTGAAAATTACTTCTCAACATCTTCAATTTTTTTTATCTTACTTCGATTTCTGTACTGCTAGTTATGTTAGGATCTATTACAGTAAAAAAACTATTTTCAATCGAACTTCTTGTAATTATAGATGATACTGAAAATAAATTGTACTTTTATTGTAATTTACATAAATAATTGTAAGTACTTATTATAGTTAATGTTATCAAAATATATTGTGAAAAACCTAACCTACAACACTATAAGACATAATGTTTTTTAAAAATCAATATAAGTACCTAATAGGTATATTTATTTTCTACCTAATAGGTATATTTATTTTCTACCTATTGATCATTTTGAGATTGAGAATTATTTTTGCACTTTGTATACAATAGGTAACAGGCGTACTTAAAGTTGTATTACAATTAAAATAGGTATAATTTATTTAAACTTACTACTAGAAGACAACGTCAAACTGGAAGAAGGCAAAACTCGGTTGGCACTCGAAGATAGGTTAGTTTCTTCACGTTCAGAACTCATTGCAATTGACAGATTTAACAAAAGTTCTAAAATGCAAATGTTTCTTATTTAAAATGTTAATAGAATATATTTTAATGATAATATCCAACATTCCAACTGTTTAAAAAGTTAAGATGCTCTCTGTATTCCATGTAACTGTGTGATTCGTGTTAAGAATTTTCTTGTTATTCACCAAATAGATAATGCTATTTGTGTCGTTTCATCTAATAATTTTACTAGTCATCAATAACCACACACAAATAACCACCTAATCCACTATTGTTTGTGAATCAACTATTTGCAATTTGTTAGGTATATTGTGGTAAAGTGTTACTGTTAACCACAGAGTTTACACGGAACACGGAGAAAGTAGATTATAGCGAATTTATAACAGAACAATTCAAGCACAGAATATAATATGATATCATTCTGTGATTGAAATGTCATTCTAAAAATCTAAAGTCCATAGTACCTACATATTATTATATGGAGTACTACATAGGTACCCTGCATACTACCTACTTACGATTTAGAAATTACGACACGAGTCACGAGTCCACGACACGGACGATAAAACCGTAGAATGTAATTATTATTAATTATGTTCAACGACTTTAATGACAATATGACAATTGACAAAAGTAAAAACGCAAGTCATGAAGACGAAAAATGAAAAAAGTGATCTGTGAAGACATAACATTAGTTTTTAGTATAATTAATACAAAATTCTAAATTGTGTGAAAACATATGACCATATAAGTAAACAGTAGGTACCTATGTATGTTACCAACTGTTTATAATCAGACTTTACTTTCAATAGTCTGCAGTACCACCACCACGGTTGAAGATTTAAAATAATTAAATTATATAGGTAAGTATACTTACATCTGCAGACTACAGTAAGTACCTACTCAGAACAGTCTGCAGGTATGTTACTATTCTATAATTTATATAAGTATATGGGTCGTTCTTATATTCTGCGATGTCCAGTGAAGTGTCGATTAACGGTAACCGACTGATAACAAATTGTATTACCAGCAGTGTCAGTTAACTTTAACTGGACATTGTAAGAACGGCCCTATGTATAATACTCCAATTAAAATCAACACTTACATAACACTACAACAGGTTACATAATAGGTACTTCAGTACCTAGTTCAGTAGGTAAGGCTTGAGTAGTAAGTACTGGTGGTACCTTAATACCCTATGATAGGTGACAAGAGAGGGAAAAACTTTTGGAAGTTTCTACGCCAACTGGCGTCATCGTGGAGACCAGATAACTCAAAGCGACCTCTGAGACCAAACATACTAAAAACAAAGCAAAATAATGGGTCATCCATCCTAACGCTCTACACGACGCAACAGAAAACTAAACAAATAACAGGAAGTGCCCTAACTAAAATGTATATATAGCGTAGACTCGTGATACTTGGTTATATAATATGTATACGCCGCCGAGACGGTTGATCGGATACCAAGGCCGATTCGTTGTGAATATCAACCAATTCAACCATATGGCTGCAGTCGTCAGTCGATCGTCAAAAGGGCCAAGACAGACCACGTTACCTGGTCAGCTGCAAGGCGAAAAACAATATCAAGAGTTCAAAAACACTAAACTATAGTGGGTTGGGAGTAAAATATTCACGCAACTAAAGACAGTATGTAGCGTTTTGTATACACAGTCACACAGACAACTGCAGTGTGAGACTGCACATAACAATCAACAAAAATAGTCACCCTTGGGGTGAATTCAACATAGGTTTGGCGCATTACCGTATTATGCACCGAACCAAAATTATCGTAGTCGTTGGTAATATATTGAAGACGCCTTGACCATTTGAACAGCAGGTGTCTGCGTTGGAGAAAGACGACTCTTCATAAAATAGAAGATCAATGGCCTCCATCACGCATTTGGGTATCAAACTGTTGGTTACCGTTTTGGACGCATCATATTATACAGCACAGGTAGCCAGGTTGGGTGAATAACCGTCAGCCTTATCAGTTATCAATCTGTCTAAACCTACTCGTCTTTAGATTTGAATTGGGTTCATAACAACTAACAAGTCTAGGTCAACGGCGAAGACAGAATACGCTGAATTTGAAGTGGCCAAACTAGAAATGTCAGAGACACGTAATGCCATACGCCCATACTGCCATAGTGAGGGTACAGTGGCGTATATAAGGGAGGCCTGGGGGTCAGATCCCCTAACATAGGCTTCGGAGTGGATAATCTTCCATGTTGTGTTTGATGTGAATTTTGAATCAATTCAAATTATATTCATTGTTTCTTATTGTTAAATATTTTACTATCAAAGTAAAAAGTTTCAAGAGGTTGGGGATTTTCCAATTTTTCCCTTCCGTTTAGCTATGTCATTTTCTTTTTTTGAGCCCCCCTCCCTTTCAGAAATCATGTCTACGCCACTGTGTGGTCGTGTGGAATGTGGATAGGCTTAATTTGAGAAACCACGGCAGTACGCCTTAACTTGGCACGCGTCACAAAACGCGTAGTGTGGTCATTTTCTTTATTGTCGACTAACTTTATTATAAGCATCTAGATACGACCGAACAGCACGATAGACGAACGTGAAATGACACGATATCTAGCTGCACAAAATGTACTATAAATGAAGCCATAATAAGATATCCAACTAACGACTGGCTAAATAATGTTAACTCAAATTCTCAACTATTAATTACCTACTATAATGACTGTACCACCTACGATCAAATGGCACCATGGTTTGCAAACAATAATAGCGTCCCAATACAACATCCCAACGCTTTACGCTGGCTGAACATCCCGTTGAGTTTTACTCTACTACCAAAAAGTCAGTTATCTATACATATATGGACAGGGCCAGAAATTATGCATCCCGGGGCACTCGTAAAATTCCATCCCTCTTTTTGGCCTGCAGGGGGGAGAGGTTATGTTCAATGTCAAAAATAAAAATTATGAATACCTATATAAAATTATAAAACATTACTTGCATATGCTTAAATAATGAAACAAATATATACTATAGTTTCTAAGAGTTTTTCAGGTTTTTCTGCAAGAAATCATTATTTTGTAAGTTGTATCCTTGTAAAAACCGTGCAAGAACCGGCATCTCCATTTTTCGTCAAAATGGGGTTTAATTGAATTTGATAAAGCAAAAAATTACGAGTTTATCTGTACAAGAACGAGACAAATCTAACAACCAGTAGGTAAGTAAAGGACATATAACGTATTTCTAGCTGTCTGGTAATTTTTGTTCCCGTTAAAAACCAGATAGCTCCAGAATATTTTGGTTTCTAAAAAAGTTTTGAAAAATGAGATTAGCACGGGGACCTATACCTGCGAAAGAATGAGACAAATCCGACCACCCGTATACAGGGGTGGATAGCCGATAGGTAGTATATTTGGTGTCTCGTCAATAGATAGCGGATAATTGATAGCGCGACAATTATAGATAGCGGTCAATTTATGGCGCGTAAATTGATCGTGAGCGACTTTTGATAGTATGACAATTTATAGCGTATAGATTTCTTAAGTAAAATAAATTATAAAACCTAATAAAACCGATATAATATATCAGAATCGGATACTTAATATTGCCATATATTACTATCTAAAATAATATAGGCAATAAAGATAATGAGACTATATTCAATACCTATACTAGTATCTATACTATACAGTATATAGGTGTATCAGTTGTCAGTTGGTACAACCACTGAACCACGTACAACACCATAATATAACAGTGCTACTTTTAGATTTACCCCGAACAAATAACTCTGTAGAAGGGTGGCACAATTGTTTTTCTGCAATGTTAAACTCCTCATCCCACCCAACAATATGGAAGTTCATAAATGCGTTACAAAAAGAGGAGCAAGTAAATGGAATGAAAATAGAGCAATATGTTGCTGGGATGGAACCGCCATTAAAAAAAATATATTATAAAGATCGAAGTGCTAAAATCAAAAAAAATTGCTTAGATTATGAAAATAGAACAATTGAAGACTATCTAAGAGGTATAGAACATAATTTCCAGCTACAGGTATAATTATTTTTAGGCAACATAAATATTGTATTATAATATCCATTAATTAAATTTGTATATTACAACTTTTTTTAGGCAACATAAATATTGTTTAATTTTAATTGTGACTTGTAATATTTTTTACTATTAGTATATTTTTTTAAATAGTTTATTTTATTATTATTTTTATTGAATTCTATACGCCATACGGCACTACAAATTGTCCTACTATGAAAAGTCGCTGGCGATCAATTTACGTGCAATTAATTGACCGCTATCAATTGTCGCGCTATCAATTATCAGCTATCTATTGACGTATATCCAGTATATTTATGTTACAGGGAAATATTTGAAGGGGCCCTCAAACTGGAAAAAATTTAGTCGATTCACTCGCATTAGTTATTCAATCTAACACCTTTACCAATAAATAAAATGTTTCGTGCGAAAACGTATTTTTAGTTTGGTGGGGGGGGGGGGGGGGCTAGGGAAACGGCTTATGAGGAAAGTGCTCTTTTCAGTTGTAAGAGATTTTTGAAAAATGTCGAGTAAGGTCGTACAAATATGTACAAATTCCGTACTAAATATCTGCATAGAAGTTTCACATAAATAAGTAGTTTTGGAAATATGTGGTGGAGAAACGTTTCTATAGCCCTCCACACAAATGCTCGGATATATTCGAAAAAAAATGTGTACAAATTGAGGGTCTTATCGTACAAATTCCGTACTAAATATCGACAAAAAAAAATTGTAAAAAAACAATATGATGGGGGGGGGGGGCTAGGGAAACATAGATACGAGATATTTCGGTCTTCAAATTACGATAAAAATTTAAAATACTATGTTAAAGATCCGTAAGCAAATTCTTGACTTGTCAGTTGTGGTATTATTACATTGTTAAAAATAACAGAAAGTAATAATAGTTTAAACAAAAAAATTAATAGTTTTAAATTTAAACTATTCTTACTTTCTGAATATTTTCGTTGAAAAACCAGATAAACC